TCTGGAAAGCAATGTGGAATGGTATTCCAAGATGACTGATGATGCATGTGCTTAGACCAGTAATACTACTACTGGCACTATAGCCCAAAGAGATCAAAGAAATAGAAAGAGGTCCTATATATTAAAAAAAATTATAACAGCTCAATTATGGTGGCAAAAGCTAGGAGTTGATAGAGTGTCCATCAATTGTGAAATGGATGAACAAATTACGTTACATGCATGTAATGGAATATTATTGTGGCATAAGAAATGATGAAGGGGATAGCTTCAGAGAAGCCTGGGAAGACTTATGGGAGCCAATTTATTCTATAACAACAACAACAACAACAGATTTCAGAACTCTGAATCACAATGGTTCCAGAGCAAACCCACTAGCTACCCCCTGACAGAAACGAATATACGGACTAATATATGGAATGGCACATGCATTTTGAGACATGGCCAATGTGGGGATTTGTTTTATTTGACTATGCATATTTGGAACAAGGATATTTCTTTCCTTTTCCTTTTCAGTTGGAGGAGGGAAAGAAAAGAAATGCTTTTTAACTTGAAAAACAAACAAACCCAGAACTGATTAAAAAAAAAAGCAACACTCTTCTTCTTACTTCATGTGCAAATGACCTTAAGTTCCAAGTACACAGGAAGACAGGTCTCAAGTCATTTTTCTCTGGTCCCTCAATTTCCTCAAGGAATGAGGACATTGGACTAGCTTACCTCTGAGGTCCCTTCCGTTCTGAGATAGGGAGTATATTATTTAGTATTCCTATTTTACAGATGAAAAAACTGAGACTCAGAGAGCTAAGTGACTTGCCCACAGTCACGAAGTTAAATGTCAGAAGTGGGTTTTATAAAAGTCTTATTTTAACCTTTTAGGCGGTGATGACTTCTTTCCAAAGCACTTTCATGTGCATTATCTTTTTTTACATTTATATTTTTATTTTTTAGGCAGTTGGGGTTAAGTGACTTGCCCAGGGTCACATAGCTAGTAAGTGTCAAGTGTTTGGTGTGAAGACAGATTTGAACTCAGGTTCTCCTGATTCCAGGGCAGGTGATCTATCCACTGTGACACCTAGCTGCCCTTCACGTACACTATGTTGCTGAGAGTATAGGTCCTGGACTAGAGACCTTGCTTCCCGTCCTCTGTTAACAGGTTCTGAATGATTGAGGAAGACTTCCTCAACTCTTAGTCTTAGAGCTAAGGCCCAGATTCCTGAACTAGAAGAGATGGGGTGCTTTCCCACCTTGCAGTATTAGCAAAGGTTCCCAACTTGGGGTGCATGGAATATTTGACAAATAATGACTTTGGGATAAGGATATAGGCTGGACCAGAGATTTCATTGTTCTGGGGAACTCCCTAATAAGGAACTTCTCTCTACAAATTCCAAGCATCACAGTTTCTAGTGGAGCACTAGAAAGTGGGGGGGGGGTCACTCATCCAGGGTCACATGGACAATGTGTATCTGAGTAAGGACTTGAACCCAGTGCTGCCTGGCTCTGTTATAGCTCCCCCTCCATTGTACCAGCCTGACTCTCAAGAACTATAATATACTATTGAAGAGTTAGTGGGAGAAGTTTGTAGATAGAATAAATTGATAAACACCTAACTTTGTGACACTAAATATTGTTATATACCTAATAAAATTCATTTTAATTTCTATTTTATTTCCCATATGTATGTACATGGTAAACAGTAAATTTTTTTTTAAGAAAATCTTACAGTTGATGTCCATGGTGTCATGTAGAGTTGGACACAACTGAGTAACAACAAAAATTCCGAATGTAATTGTTACCTTGCTGTTGTGAAATTCAAGACATTGACATTTAAATTCTTATTAATTTAGTCTTTAACTGTCAGGACAGGGACTTTTTATTTAAAATAAATACTTATTAAAATATTTTTTTTCATGTTAAATAGGGAGTACAGGAAGGTTTTGCTGAAATACAAAAGGGACAGCGGCCCAAAAAATGTTGGGAACCCTCAGAAAAGAATTCTAAACATGGAGTCCAGTTTGGGAGCAGAGCTGGAGGGCTTGAAAGGGACCTTAGAGGTCATCTGCTCCAACCTCCTCATATTGCAGATGAGAAAACAGCCCCACAGAGCTGAAGTAACTTGTGCAAGGTTACACCAGGTAAGTAGCAGAGCTAGAATTTGAACTCAGGTTCTCTGACATCTGATCCAGTATTCCTGCTACTCTACCACAATGAGCTTGGGTGACCCTGAGTTAGTTACTTCCAACCTCAGTTTCCTCATCTGCAAAATGAGACTGACAGTAGCACCTATCTCACAGGTCAGGTGGGAGGATCAAATGAAATGATGCCTGATATCTGGCAGCCCACTAAGTGCCACAGCGGTCTAAAGCATCCTAGTATAATACCCATACTACTTACCTTGAAGGTCCATTGGGACAATGGTGCCTTGTGAAGACATAAAGAAATAAAAGTTAGTAAAACCTCATTATCACAAGGCTCTTATGACATGTTAGTCAGAACTTATTGTCCATATTCTGCAGATGAGGAAACTGAGTCCTGGAGAGCTTAAATGATTTGCACATGGCTACCAAGTGGCAGAACCAGAATGACTTCAGAGAAGCCTGGGAAGACTTGTATGAACTGATACAGAGTGAAATGAGCAGAACCAAGAGAACAATTTATACAATAACAACAATATAAAAAAATAAATTTGAAAGACTTAAGAACTCTGATGTAGTAAGCAACCATAATTCCAAAGTACTAGTGATGAAACATGCTAACCACCTCCTGACAGAGAGATGATGTATTGAAGACACAAAGGAAGATAAACATTTTTGGACATAGCCAACAGGGAGAATTTGTTTTGTTTGGCTATGAATATTTGGTACAAAGGGTTTGCCTTCTCTTCCCCACCATGGGGGTGGGAAGAGGAGGGCTGGGTATAGTAGCATTTCCAACCCACTACCCCAAATGAGAAGAGAAGACCAGAAGTAATCAAAGACAAGTAGGACTGCCTTAATCAAAGACAAGTAGGACTGCCTTGAAAGTTATTTGTTGAATGTATTATATACTTAAAAAGAGAAGCAAGTTGTATATAACCCTGCATAATAGAGAATTGCGGTTTCATGTACAATCTTTACTATCTACTCCAAAATGTGTATGGAAATGCTAGTTTTATTTTAAAATTGAGAATAAAAAATAAAAAGAGGGAAGAAACATCTATGTGTGCTGGGTATACAAATATAAAAATGAGACAATCTCTACCCTCAAGGAGCTAACATTCTATTAGGGGAATAGTGACCAGAGAAAAGTGTCTTTTTGAATCTAATCCATCTTTCACAACAGAATTCTGGAAGGAGGCACAGAAGCAAAGGAAGAAAACTCTAAAACATTCTAATAGATCTTAGAGCTGGAAGAAAACGGACAGCAGAGTAGGCTATTGACTTGCCCAAGAACACATCATTATTAATAGCAAACTCCTGGTGTAAATCTGAAACAAACTGTTTCCTGATTCTGGGCCTCATTTTCCCCATTTATAAAAATGAAAACCTTGGACCAGATGATCTCCAAGGGCCCCCTCCCACTCAGTAATTCTGAGTTGCATGATTCAAGGTCACATATCAAGTTAAAGGGAGTAAGACTCCCAGCCCAGGTCTCCCTATTTGAAGGCCAGTGATCTTTCCTGTAATTTATTGCTTTTTTGTGTATCTTATAAAAGCCAGCATTTGGCACAGCACTTTAAGGTTTTCTTTTTCTTTCTTTTTAGCAGCAATCTGGTTGAAGTGACTTGCCCAGGGTCACACTGCTAGTAAGTGTCTGAGGCCTGATTTGAGCCCAGGGCCAGCGCTCTATGCACTTTGCCATTTAAGCTTTTCAAAGTGCCCTACATGTACTATGTCATTTGCTCTTCATATCAGCCTGGAATGCATTATTTTTACCAGGTGAGAAAACCGACTGAAAGAGGTGAAGAGATTTTCCAGATGTTCCACAGTCAATGTGGGAGACAGGTTTAGTTCTAGGGTTTTCTTCACTCCAGGTCCAATCCACTGTGGTAGAAGCTTCAGTCAGCAACAAAGAAGCGGTCTCCAGACAGGCAGGAAGGGTTGAGGTCAGTGACTCTGCCTGAGGACCCTCACCAGCTACGTTTGACCCTGTCCCCAACCTAATGGCATGATGTGTGCTTGACATAAACGGTAGATGCACACTTAAAAACCAAAACAAAATGATGATTTTTGGTTTGACATCACTTTTGGGGACACAGTTCCTCTACCGTCAACCATGTCAGAGACCCCTCTATGAATGAAAATGGCAACTGTCCTGCCATTTATCACCTCACAAAGTTCCCTCCGGCTCCGAGAAACGAAGTGACAGCATAGGGTCATTCAATCAGAACCTCCTTTCAGAGGAGAAACTTGAACCCA